CATGTTAACCACTCGGCCACATTGCCGCGGGTGCTCTTAAGTCACAGGGCTGATGTGAATTTCAAGAAAGGCCAGGCCTTTTTCCATATCACATTATTTGGTTGAATTGTCGATGGAGCAAGCCTATATTTGCTATAACAATCTACTACGTTACTTATTTTTCGTATAAGTAGTACATAGTGTGCTTGTTCGATGATCCCATGTTTAACGGACTCTTGAATAGGCCCATAAAGTTAAGCTGGCTCTGAATCTTTCAAGGCTGGGTTACAAGATTAAGAACAAGAGCAACCTAATCAATTTTACCTCTCAAAGGTATGATACATCATTTTCATCAGACCTTAGTCACCATAGGTCGAATAAGGCGATTTAAGCACACGTCTATGAGTAAACCTCAGGTTCCATTGAATTTCATTTGGCTTTGTCACCTGGCCTGTGGTTTCCACCCCATAAGGGATACATCTTCATCTCCAACGGGATTATAGACCCTGTCATGAGCGCCGTGGATACACGTTAATACTCCTCTATTTCGCCATGGAGGATAGTTATGAAGCTATTTATTTGTTATATAATAATGTTGTCGATTTTGGTGGCAAATAAATATTCGCATAAAGGAAATGCCACTATAATTGAGATTTGTCGGAGTGCTATCATGTCACTACTGTGCCGACGGCCAGGTTCAGAATTCTGACGACTCAAGAATGGCCGAAATTGCTGAAAATGTTCTGGAAGGTAAGACTAAGTAAGATTGAATGGCATCGTGTGGCCTGCTTAGATCGCTATGGGAAAACTTCTACTTTTAGTTGTTAGGTCTCCTTAGGCGACCTGAGTCGAATAAATTCCTATTCAAGAAGTACCGATAATTTTGCGACATTCTCACACTGGATAGTATAATTAGATATATACGATTTAAATTACATATATTACGCATATATATACATATATATATATATCTATCTAAAAATTAGATTTTAATTCATCTTTAAATTAGGATAATTGTTCCAGACAAAAGGGATAAAATTATATCGGTAGTCACAGTCATTAGAGCAAGCATAGTTAAGCTGACCCTGCCCAAAGGGTTGTAATGTTATTAGCATACTAAGGCTTCAGCTGTTCAATTTCTGTACCTTTATTGTTCATTCTTTTATATTTTCAACTAATCAACCATATCGCCTCAAACACACACATTAAAATACACTATACCCGGTGTAGGGTAACACAGATTAAGACGTACTCTTGGGACAATGCTCAAGTCGTTTTGGTGGGAAACAAATGTGACCTGGCCGATGAACGTGCGGTGTCATCTGATCGAGGCTACCAGTTAGCCAGCCAACTGGGTAAGTCCGAAAGGCGATTTTCAATGCAATTCCATTGGATTGACGCACGAATTTTCCAGTTTTGCCTCTCGCAGTTTGATTCTGAGACTTCAAGTGAAGCTCATTTACAGCCCTCCTTTTGGGTTCCTCCCCTCAAGGGTTCCTTTGGCCTGTAGCCCCCAAATTTCAATCTTCAGGCTTGACGATTTAGGCCATGCTGTCAATGTGGTGGCGCCACTTCCGCCTCCTCGTGCCTGGTCCTGGAAGCTATCGAGATCATGTAGAAAAGAATCACCGAGGCAGGTGGCTCACACCATCAATGGTATATACCTTTCTAGGGGCTTGTGTGAAATTTGGTCCCTGTTGGCGCTACAAGGACTGGTATCAATCTTGGTCACGATGAAAGGAAGATAAATCCAACCTTATGTTGAAATTCACTCCACCACGCATCACACAAGGTAGTTTTCCTCCGGACTGGACTCCTCTTTTGACCTCACTTAAGTCGCATCATAACTTCGAGCAGGATTCACACCGCGGATCAGCGGATTTGGCGACAAATAGGTGGGTTTTATTGGAGTAACCGTCAAGCATATGAAGCAAGCCACATGTAAGGTTCTAATCCTGTGGCAGGTGGGGATGGTGCCCATGCGAGGGGGAATTGGCGGTCCAACATAAAATGTGCGGAACTTTGGAAGGCGGGGATCATTTACTTTTTGCGTGAACTCAAGCCTTTCCTTTGACTCATCGTGGGTAGCGTTGCTGTCGGTTCATATAACTCAACTACAAAACGAAGAAGGCCGACAGCATTCGGATTCCAAATGGGTACCCAAAACGGTGCGTAGGAAAGTTATCTGATGGCTTACGCATCTCTTCAGCTAGTCCATTCTGCTCTCGGGGTATATGGACTTGTCAACCTTACCAGGAGGAAATTAGGTTTGCTAAGAAATTGGTTTCTGTAGGAGATATAATGATGCTACTTAGTTTCGATGCGAGTAGTAATTTTTGGATAAGAGACCGCGTCACTCAAAGTATTTAAAGGCGATTTAAGTTTTGATGGTTGAAGTTATCCGCAATAAACTTAGTAGTCTTCATGATGCCTGACTCTTTTATAAAGCGACGAGTAAATGTTCTGAAGCCTACATATTTAGTTTAGTAAAGTCATCGAGTCTAATGACAATTAAAAGTTTGCAGTATTGACGATCCCAAGATATTTTCGTTAAGTTGGGTTTCGAAACCACCAATAGATCTTGAATAAGAACTGTGTTCACCCTATTTTGTTTAAGGTGATGAAGGATAAGTCGTTTAATTTTCCCACAATCAGATGAGTAAGCCTCACGTGTCAACTGAATTCCACATAGTTGATACAAAGAGTAACCGGGTTTTGATGAAGCTCCTAAGATAACTCAACCTGAACGTCATATTAAAGCCAAATTTTTGCAGTACAATGGAAATTATTCTGTGTTTTCTGGTGAGATCGACCTTCGAAACGCTTCTTCATGCACTTTTATACGAAATGAAAGCCTCCGCAACAATGAATTCTGCATAGCCTTTCTTCCTAAAAGGAATTATTCTTAGGCGGGAGTAGATTCCAGTTTAGACCTCGCCTTAACTTCATCAGCATCCTTGTTGGGACTCGAAATTTACTTAAAAACGAAAAATAAGTGATGCAGCCTATTGCTATAACAAATCCAGCTTTGCTTGGTCGACAATCTTCCACAGAAATATGATATCGGAAGGCCTAGGCTTCTTTAAACATCACATCTGCCCTATGATTCGAGCTCATTCGTGGCAACATGTCATGTCGTGGTTAATGTCTTGTAAGTATACCCTGCACTAACATTACCCGAGTTAGAGTCCCGCTGGGGGTGCTGATGAGGACAGTTAAGGCCAGGTCGAAACAGCAGTCCACTCCTGCCTGGATGAGAATACCTTTTGGAAAACAAAGCTGCTTGAAAGTGAATGGAAACAAGGGGCCAGCTCACATTCAATTGCCGGTCTTTCGTTACCTTAAACAAACTATCGCGAGCACAGTTCTTAATCCCACCATAACTGGGGGTCGGGAGAGGCTAGGCTTGCCTTGAATGCCACCTCTTACTGTCACTTGCGGCTGCTGTATTGCAGTTGCTGATACGACCCGGACGAGGGAGAAACCTTGGGCCAAACTTGAAGATAAACCCTTTTGAGGGACAGGACTAAGGGAACTTTAATGTCATCGGGAGGACTGTTTGTTTGTTTGTGAGAACTTTTAGCTATTATCCTTAAACTCACATTAAGTGACATAGGCTGAATAAAACTCTTACATAGCGAGGTAATCATTTAATATAGGAACTGTATTCGCTTTATCTCGTTTAGGGCGATGACTGGTAGTTGAATTGTCCCACAGTCAGTTGAGTATGCCTCATATTTTCATTAAATTTCATCAGCTAAATAGGAAACGAAAAGTGATTGCATAATGCCAAGATAGCGTGTAAACCTGATTGGCAAGGAAAATTCGAGCCGTATATAATGGATTTAAATAGAGCTGAAAAATGGCAGAAAGGCACCAATGCTCCAATCTGGTGATGAAATCACTTTATTTATTCTCGTCATTTAGCGTTGCTATCATCGACTAGATTGGCCACTTTTGTGTGGTAGTAGCGAAGCCGGTAGCCATCCGGCCCATGTTGAGTGAAAGAAAGGGCCCGCTTTCGCATGGAAATACCATGGCAAGTGCTTCCCGAGCTGGAGTGTCTTTTCGACCTCTTCCGGATCTCGGTCCCACGTCATCAGCAGTACCATTGGCTTCACATGAAACTGATGAATCACAATTCAAATGCCCTTCAGCCAATCAATTTGCCATAGACTTAATTCCGTCTACTTCTCAGATCAAGACTTCTGGTGGGCACAGACTACTACTCACTTTTGCTACTTTTGACACTCTAAATTGCAGCCGCGTGTTGTTTAACCCAAATCGGGATAATGCTGAGCAAGCGATGTAGCCACTTTTGAGCAGTCGCTTGCCGTATGGTCTTCAGTTCAAACTGAAAAGACTCTATCTCTAAGCCGAACAGCAATAAAAGCTTGGGATGATACGATTGACAGTAAAGGTTTGCTGAGCTCATTCTGTAGGTCATTGTCTCATCCCAATCTCTGTCAGCAAAGTCACCATTCCATATGTTGGATCACCCTCATTTCTCCTCATTAGTACGTATCTTATGGGCTTGGCCTCAGATTCTGGTGGTTGCTGATGCCTGTCCACGCTAAAGAACATAGCCTGACAGGGATCAGGCCAAAAGGTCTTCGTAGATTGGTTTCATCGGTACAGACAGAGGTTGCTGTGTGCATACTAGTGTAGCGAAATCCTCATATTTAGTAGGTTTTCGATACTACGCGTAGATCTCAAATAGAAGCTGTATTCACCCTAAGTCATATAAGTTGATGAAAGCCTGATTTTCGCATGAGTAGGCCTCACGATGTTATTTAATTTCACTTGGAATCGCCTCCCAAAAGGCGGTTTCATCAACGATGGACTGCAGTTGCAACCTCGCCTGGGTCGGACCAGAACCCCAAATGGTAAAATGTTGCAATTCGACTCTACTAACCGGGCTCGATTCCCGTTGTGAGTGTTTGTGAGGGCTGGACATCAACATACACACACACAGAGACAAAATCGAGGATAAGTGAATTAACAAACCTTTCTATACCCATCTACATCCTAAATTGTGCTCTCAATGAGTATATATGTCATATAGAAAAATGTCGGTTAGTCTGCTTGACTTAGTGTTACCTTGACACTTTTGGAAGAATGAGTCCCAGCTCTGACGATGTTCGTCACATGATCAACTAAAGCTCAGGCCTTCTTCGCCCGAACCGTCGGAGGAGGATTCGTGGACTGCATCAATCTGAACGTCGTATTAAGGCCAGTAGGCTGCAGTACAACTCGAATCAGCCGACGTCTTCTGGCAGTACACGGTGAAGCGATTCGTAGGTCAATCCCATCAGAAGAGGTCGGACGATTCGCGTTGTACCGCAATCGTTGAACCTTAATACGACTTTCACGCTAATGCAGTGCACGAGGCATCCTCCAATGTTTGGTCTGGGATTTCGTTCATCATTTGACTAACAGCATCAGAGCATCAATTTAACACTATATCAAGAAGACTAACCAGCTTTTTTCCATATGATATATATACTCATTACAAAATTTTTTAAAGATATAGATAGATATACAAAGGCATGATTAATCCACTCATATTATAGTGTGTCTGTGTGTCTGTGTATTAACGCTTGTATGGAAAGCCGGCCATAAATCAGAGTAATTAGAAAAAAACGTAAAGTCAGACTGGGTCATCAAGATCTAGTGATCCAATTAAAAAAATATGACCCTGATTGTATTAGTACGTGAGTAACCCTGGTTAAATTGATGAGCTGTAAGTTTGAGACCATTCTATCTCATCTCCAGCCTCCACTCTGTGTTCAGCCACTTCTGACCGATCGACTCAGCTGCCGTAACAAGCATTTTTGGGCTCTGCTAATCCTTGGCAGATCGGTTGACAGGTCTCGCCAACATAAGGTCGACCACAGGAGCACATAATCTTGTAACAGCCGGAACTTGTTAGTGGGTCATATTTCCCTCTAAAATGAGGCATAACCGAAGAAATTGTCAGAGCTTTTTTGAACAATGTCTTTATCCCCTACTTCCTCACCAATTCTGCTGTTTGCTTCAAACTGAAACATGTTGATAAGATCAGAACTTGAGAAAGGGTCTCAGCTTGACTATTTCCGACCCAATATTCTACACCTGAAAATATATTCCTCATTAAAATTATATTATTGTCAATTACGCCCAAAGGATAATTATTCTCCAGGGATGAAGCTTTCAGTCATCTT